TTTCTGGAAAAAAAGAGAGGAGATTTAAAAGAAAAAAAAAGAATTTAAAGAATTTTGACATTGGTTGATATTGGATTGATATATCTGATAGGTTAACACTTATGTTTTCATGTTTCAAACCCAAGACTCAATCATTTTTTGCATGAGAATGAAACGAAAGAAATGATTCCAAGGGTCATTAAATTGATCACTGCTCATTCCAGTACATATAGTGGAGAAGTTGGCAATTACTTGTTGAGATGCAAATTAATAAATACAAGTACAAAATCCAAGAATGCCGACTGGTAAAATGATTGAAAAGGCACTGGTTTTATACAGTTACTGCTTCAAATTGGTGGTGCAAATCAAAGAATGCCCACTAGTTAAAAGAATTAAAACGCACTAGCTTAAATTATACAGTAACTGCTTCAAACTGGTTCTAAATCCAAAGCAAGGTATCCAACTTACCATCTCTTGGTGTCAACAACCAGCTGTAGAGGAAACCAGACGCCACCGAGAAATATAAAACCATGCTTTTCTGTTTCTGTACAATACTTAGGATCTGGTCTGTTGTGATTGGTGGAGGATCGGTCACATGGTTGCCATAGAAACCTTCACTTCCTGCTTGCCGTTCCATCAATAAATCAATAAATGCACGTGTACATGCTCTCTCCGCGACAACCAAAGCTTCCGGATGTCTGTCCAGTGTAACAAGCACCCTCTGTAATAATATGTTTAAAATATGTGTTACACTTTTTTGATAGTGATTGACTGGAAATTTCTATGCTAGATGTTATACAATGCAATACATAAATACCTTTACACCTCTTGTAATTTGCATGGACAGTTTACAAAGTTTTTATACTGTACATTTATCAACTTAAGAGCCAAACTGAGTGCCCTTATTTCATACAGGCTGTACAAAGTCAGCCCTCACAAACCCAAAATAAAAGCCCACATTTCAGATGCTAATTTATAATATACTAGTATTCAGCCATTTAAAAAAACCCAATTATATGCCCTTATTTTCAAACATGTTACATTTTAAACCACAAAAGAACCATAATAAACACCTTGGCCACATTTTCAGCCAGTAACAACTCAAAACATGTGCTTTGATTTTTTATATGTTACATACAATAGTCATGTATTAATTCAGCCTTTAGGAAGATCTAATGTTACAGTAACACCTTAAATGAAACATTTCTCATGAATTTTAGCATCATTTTTTGTTGTGCACTTCCTCAGAAATCAACTTATTGTAACCATTACATCAAATCATGTTTCTTAAACTTGGTTAGGTTAATTACCCTAAATTACAAGGCCATTTAAACAACATTAATGTCAGAAATATGTCACAAAATGTAACCCATTACATTTATAAGCCATTTTAATGGAAATATTTTAATTTTAAGCAATGTTTTGTCTTAAATTGCTACAAAATTTCTCTAAATTACTATACATGTTTTGTCTACAATAATGCAGAAATGAATGTCGGAATATTTTTGCTGCATCTAACTTAATTACTATCTAGTGTCAAGTATATGACATGGTGAACTAACATGTTCTTTTAAAAATGACAATATACCTAGAAGGCTTAAATGGCAAAACAGAGCTCAATAGGTATTTGATTAAATGCATACATCTTTATTTTTAGCCTTCATTTAAATAAATGATATTAACCCAAGCCAAAATATTAATAAAAGCAACTTTTTCTTTTCGTGTCGGAAAACGTCATATGGCACATTTTCAGGTTTATTGGGTAGAGAGAGATCTCAGGTGCTCTGTTGCACATTATTTCGGGCACAAATGGGTAACAAACAGAATCACCAACCTGCTATGACCAAATATGATTGGCCGTTGCCACCAGTATAGGCCAGGCCAGCCTGCATATTCATGTAGTCTAACTAGGATCTATACTGTTGACTGACCCCACTTCAATTTTCATTTTTTATTATTTCCCAAAACTATATTAAATGTAGAGTGAAAAAAAATGGAAACTGGACAAGTCCATTTAGGAAATTTGTCAGATTAAAGGTTAACAGGCAAGCTACAACCTGTCAAATTTACCATATAAAAGTCAACTTTACAGTATTTTTAGCAATTTACAAAATGCTTTACCAAAATTTAATAACAATAAATGCCAAAGGAAAACCATTATCATACTGAACAATTTAAGATCAAATTCTAAAAACAAGCACACACGGCAAACAAGCTTATTGTTACAGTATCTGTTATCGTATAGGCAACAAATTTTTTTACGTTAATTCGACTATAACCACGAGACAATCGGCTATTATTTTCAAAAGACTTCAGCGCGTATTAGATATATAACCAAGGGTGTTATATAACCACACCTATATCACTAGTCTCAAGCGTAAAATAATAAAAACCATTAAAAAATATGTACAGTATCAAATTCTGGCGTTATGTCAACCACAAAGAAAAAAATGCAAAATAAAGTATTTTACAAATTTTACGACAAAGGAAAAAAAATATGAAATTTATCTTGCAAACTGTCTTAGGTAACCAGTAAAAAAATATGTAAAATGAAATTAGGGCACACTATGTGTTTACAAAGCTATAAATCTATGTAAGAAGAACAATTGTACAAATATTTTATGTAAGGTGATGACTGGGACAACACAATATCGCATTTCTTTCATCTTGCGCAGTAATTTGAATCTGACTCTTTTTTTATGGTCGTTTTAAAATCAGAAAGAAGAATAGACTGGGTCATTTACCTAAAAAAAATGACTATAGTATCTCATTTTAATGCAATAAATTTACATAAATATCTTTCTTTTTTTTTTTTTTTTGAGAAAAAAAAAAAACATACACAATCCGGTGTATTATTATCCGTCTTCTAAGTATGTCAAATGATTTGGTGTTAGGAGACATTTTGGTTAGAATTAAAGTAGTCTCAAAGCTAGAACAAAAAAAAACTCTTCCCCATTCTATAAAAAAAACTGAGCTTAACTGAACTTTGACTGAGGGCATTTTTAAAGATCCTTGTCATATGGGTTTCATGATATCTTTTGGCACTAACTACCTAGGGTATGGGTTTTTGGCCATGGTCTGTCAGCATTAGAAAATATTAAAGAGTTTACGTAATACAATTTGAACTCTACAATGTATAATGTGTATGGTATAAAGGTAGAGCTCTATAATAAGGAAGTACAGGAACGATGCAGTGGCCAAACTGTGCTCTGGTAAATTCAATATGGCTAACTGCCAAGATCCGGTGTGAAAACTACCACCACCACCACCAGTGAAAGTGAAATTCTCAGTGTTGAAGATCAAACAATATAAAATTCTTTCATATCACTGTTAACAGTAACAAGCATTTAAAATCTAGATATAACTGACGTGCTTACCAGTCACAAACATATTTTACCTGTAATGCTTGGTAACAGGCAGTCTGAAGGTCAAACAACGACAACTTGTATTCACTGTTAAACTGGGCATCGCGGCGAATACTTTCAAAAAGTTCCGAGGCTTTATACAGTTGTTGCTGGCATTCCTCGTGGTCGTTGTTACCCCAGAGTGCAAGACCCAGGCGGTGACGTATCTTTGCCTCATCCTCCATGCGACCAAGCTGCTCGGCGATTTGTAATCCTTGACGGAGATATTCGACGGCTTTCTTGTGATTGTTTAAAGCATGATGCACTCGCCCTGAAAGTTATTTTTGGAATATTACTAATTATGTTGTTCAGGTAATCATAAAATGCTGAATAATAATTTATTATGATATCTATTATTCTTGTTTTTGTAATGATTTAGAATTAATAAGATTAGAATAAATTTTCTGGAAATGATCTGAAATTTTGCACACTAGTTATTGGTCTAGACCTACATCAAATGAAACATTTATATCAAAAAATTATTTCCAGTCCCATCATATCAAAAAACCTCAATGGACTTCCTTGGAAAAGGCAACATGCATAAATCATTTTGCAGAAACCGAGAATAATTGGCACGCCTAGGACGAAAATTCTTTTTTTTTTATAGCATAACCTTCGAAGTGAGCTTGACACAGAAGCCTTAAATGTACAAATAAATGTCTGATCGCATCTGAAGAAAAGTGTCAACAAGTAATACCGTACATTTAATTCATATACATGTATATACCTAAACTACTGTACGCCAGTGTTTTTGCGACCCTGTCGTTCATTTGCGCAGCAATACTTAAATGCTGTTCCTGGTATTTAATTGCCTTGGTATATTCTCCCAAAGACTCATGGGATAGGCCCAGATTACCATATGCTCGACCTGAAATATCGTAGAAGAAAAAAAATAAAATCAGACTCGTAAAAAAACTGAAAAAAAGAGTTCCTAGTTAAATGTTAACAATCAATCAAGAATCTGGTTTGTTGTAAACAGGGCAACTGTGACCATCCTTGTGTTGTCTATAGTTACAATTATCATGGCCGGATGGTCTTGTGTTTTCAAAGCATGTTTCTTAAAACAACTCTTATGACATGACTGATATAAAAATTCTTATCACCTTAAAAAATGTTTCTATTATAACTATGTGAATTGAATATTAGTAGTTATATGATGTGGTATTGTAAACTTGAGTAGTCGTTTAATGTTGGTTACAAATGAAGAGGAATTCCTGCCATATGTCTATGTGTAAAAAGTAGGCAATGTGGTGGTGCTATTTGAAGTCATGCAAAGTGTCATTTGTGAATGGGTAGTCATTAAACTTGGCTATTTGAAAATGGGTAGTCATTCAATGTGGCTATTTGTAAATGGGTAGTCATGCAATGTGGCTATTTGTCAATGGATAGTTATACAATGTGGCTAGGTTTTAAGGGAAAGCCATGCAATGTGGCTATTTGTAACTGGGTAACCATGTAATGGGTGTATGTGCAGATAATTTAACTTTTTGAAACTGGGTAGTGATACAATATGGATATAAATACAACTGAACAGTAACACAATGTGGTGATTTGTTATTAGGTAGTCAAACAAAAATGGTTATGTGAGAATGGGTAGTCACATAATGTCAACATGTTGATGTTCCTTCAGAAGAAGCAAAACTGATATTTTCAACCCAATGATACAATTTCCTGATTTTTAACTAATTAGAATAACTAAATATCAGAGTTCAAGAAACTATGCTTGCAAATTACTCTTTAATTTATATTTCTATAATCAAAGAACCAATTTAAGTAATCTAGGTTCTATAATACACAGTTGGATTCTATGTTTTAGTATACAATGTAAAGGCTTATCATGGTATCCAAATCTAAGTCTGAAACTTCTGTGCAGCGTGACTTGAAATGTCATAAAATAGGGAACTATACATTTTGTTATTCAACATACATTGAGTGAATACCACAGAAGAAGGAAAGACATAATGTATATCTTATACTTACATTGGCAAGCTGTGTTATTTGTATTTTCTGCTATTTTTAGATCCATTTCATGATATTCCAGGGCTTTGTCATACTCGCCCATCTGCTGATAAACTCCGCCCAAACCACAGGCAGCGTCCCCTTCACATAAACTATCTGACATTTCCTGTGCAATTGTTAACTGATGCTGCAGACAGGAAATTGCTTGCTCGAAATTACCCAGTAGACTATGCAAGCATCCTAGTTCTCCATAAGCCGAGGCTTTTGCCGCTGAACTGTTCAACTCATGAGCGACTACAAGCCTCTTTTCGAAACAAACTAACGCTTGCTGAAGATTTCCAACAGACCGATGAGCATTTCCAAGACCTCTGTATGCTTTATCTTGATCCGACAAATGACCAGCATTTTGTGCGATAGCAAGATATTGTTCATGACATTTAATTGATTCATCAAAATCACCAAGTGCCTCATAACAATCTCCAAGATTTCCAAATGCACGCCCTTTATCGAAAGTAGCGTTGTTTCCATGGACCTGCTCTAACATTGCTAACTGTTGTTCAAATAATCCTATTGCTTCTTCAAAATTACCCATATTCATTTTCGTAATCGCAAGATTTCCGCAGGCATTTGCTTCCATTGCACTGTCCTGAAGCTCTCTACTTTTCTCGAGCTGTTCTTCGTAACATTTAAATGCATTCATGTATTTCCCTAAGCACATGTGAACACTACCCAAATTTCCGTGAGCTCTGCACTCGCCTTTAAGGTCATTCATATCTTGCCTTATACTCAACTCCTGTGTATGATACGCAAGGGCTTTATCGTACTGAGTAAGCACCCTGTGTGCCGAACCCAGTGCACCATTGGCAGACGCCATCATATCTTGGCTGTTACACTGCTTCGCTAATGTTAACTGCTGATTATAGAATTTTATTGCTTCACTCGTATCACCAGTCTTTAAAAGAATATCACCGATATTTCCGAGCGATCGAAAATGACCTTTTACATTTTTCAAAGCTGTCATTAGATTCAAACACTTTTTCTGGCAGTCCAATGCTTCCGTGTAATTGTTCAAAGCTTTGTGGGCAAGACCTAAATTACAGTACGCTCGTGCAATACCAAGCTGATTTTTCAATTCTTGAGCTATAGAAAGATCCTGCTTGTAATATCGAACCGATTCTAAAAAGTTTCCGAGAGCAAAATGTGCATAACCTAAACAAAAGCAGGCTTTCGCCTCACCTTCAGAGTCATGTAGTTCCTGAGAGAGCATTAAATACTGCTCATAGTATGGTATAGAGTTCGTATATTCTCCACGCGAGCTGTGAAAATTACCCAAATTGCACACTGCCCTTGCCTCACTCTGAGAATCTTTAAGCTCTCGTGAAATATTCAAATGAGCCACATAATGCTGATGAGCACTGTCGTACATTTTCAACGTCTGATACGCTACCGCTAAATTTCCATGCGTTGATCCCTCTGAATGCCGGTCATTCACTTCAGTGGATATTGCTAATTCCTGTTTATTGTATTTTATTGCTTGTTCAAATTGATTTAATGCACAATACGCGTTTCCGATATTACCTAATGCTCTGCCTTGACTAGCCCTGTCACCTAATTCTTTAGCAATTGAAAGATGAACTTTATGTAGTTTCAAAGCAGCTTCATATTCCGCTAGTTGATGATAAATAATCCCAAGATTTGAACACGCACGACCCTCAGCCACTCTGTCCCGAGTCTGTAGGGCATTATCCAACTGTTTTTCATGGTAAGTTTTTGACATATCATACGCTTGCATACATCGGGCCGCATGACCTAAACCAGCATATGCTCGTGCTTCCAAAGATTTATCACTCTTTTGTTCAGCTAGTTTCAACACTTGTTTATGATACACTATTGCTTTTTCATAATTTCTTTTATAATGGTACGCACTACCGAGGTTACTATAAGCTCTCGCCTCCTCAACACTATTTTTTAAACCTTTTGCTATTTTTAGATGTTCTAAATGACATTCGACAGCACTTTCAAAATTTCCCATTGCTAAGTACACGGCACCTACGTTACCAATTTCTCGAGCTTCCAACAGTTTTTCGTTGCTTTGTTTTAATAATAACACACATTGTTTGTGACTTTGCAATGCATTTGGGTAGTCCCCAATTGCTGTGTACACGTGACCTAGTCGGCCAAGAGCTACCGTTGCTGTTTGGCGGTCCTTCAATCTCATGGCTAAAACCAGTTGAAACCGGTCATGTGACAGAGCCTCCTTGTAATGACCTTTGGAGAAATATGCTGACCCCAGGTTGCCATAGGCACGGCACTCTCCTTCTGCATCTCCTAAAAAAGAAAACAAAAATGGTCAATCAAGTTTCAAACAGATTAAATTTTCGCACTTGCTATTTCAGAAGTCATATAGAAGAAATAAATTCCTGAATTTATAACACATAACTCCAAAATTATTATCTATTTATTTTCTACATTGGCACAGATAAAAATGAAAATTATTGTGAAACTCGTATACAATGTTTTTGGACATTTTTATATAATGAAAGAAGCAAATTAATATAAGTTTGTAAATTTAGAGGGATTGTTTTTTTTTTTCAAAATTCTAAGAATAATTTTCCTGCCTAAGTAACTAACAATCAAAAATGAACACTTGTCATTTAATCTGATCATACTATAAATAATTCTTTACCAGTTTTTCATCATTTTGGTTCAAATTCTACTTTGATTAATCACAGCATAAGAAAATGTATCTTAATTAGCAGTCTTGGCCACTGAGATAGAAATGTTTCATGTATTTAATAGGAGTGTTTTTATTGAAGAGGAGAAGTCTAGACTGCCCTCTATTAGATTACGTCCATCAATGAAAGCAATCATCCAGAAAGAGGCAAGTTCGCCTCCACAGAGACACTGAAAACGTAACAAAGTGAGAAAACTGCGAAGTTTTCAAGTGCCGTCATTGCATCAAGGGAGTTTATTTACATAATTACGTAGTTGGTTAGATCTTTTTGACTTGTTCTGCTATATTATGTGAAGACTTCAACCAATTTAAGATGTGCAAAATCATTTTGTTCAATTAAATGAATATTTATGATCAATTCTCGTTCCATTTTTGATAATTTGGTCCCGTAACCAGCTAAATTTCTTCAATTTTTGAGAGTGTCAAGATGAAAAATAAAGTTTGTCAGTCAACAGTGAAGGGCCTGGTCAGACTACATGAATGTGCAGGCTGGGCTGGCTCTATACTGGTGGCAAAGGCTATTGTCACATTTGGTTCCAGCAGTGGAAGGTTTAATGTAAATATAGCTTAAGCTGAAGGTGACCATGCATGTACTTTTCAAGACATGTAAAACAATATTTTTGTTAAATTTAATTAAAAAATAATAAAAATTATTTCAATTCTATTCTCATATCGAAAATCTCCATACACTTTATATATTACAGTGGTGTCCATGTCACCATACAAATATTGTATGGAAAATTCCATGAAATTTAAAATTAATGCATATTTCTAGATATCTAATGAGAGATACCGTGCATCAGGTATAACTGCAAGAGAGGGTGAATTTAATATTTGAATTTTAGATATCATAATCAAGTTTTACATTGTGCTTTTATAAAATTTAGTTGGAATAGATGAACTCATACTACTACGGTCATAATGAAATAAAAATAAACACTTAAAAGCATTATATTATTAAGTATATCCAATATACGGATTACTGAGAACTGTTTATATTAATTATATACATATACAATACATAAATATAAAGAACCGCTGTCCACAGTACTTGACGACACTTTAATACCTGTCAAATTAACAGACTTTGAGTCGGCATTAAATTTAAGAATGACCGTTTCATGAATTTTAACCATAATTACAACAGTAGCAACGCTATAATGGAAAAACCATTAAAATCTAGCTTGATTTATAATACAGAAAAAAGCATTAAGCTTTTAAGCATTATCACAAATACTTAAAAAGCAATTTTTACATTTTTTAGGTTTTGTCTCGTCCTTTACAAATAACTGTAAAACAGCCTTTTAATGAGAGGAGCAATTTTCTGTGCTTTATGGCTGGTAATTGGAGAGAAGTATCATTATGAAGTTAGCAATTTTAAAACTTCATTATCTAAGTTCACAAATCAATTAACAATGGCCTTATTGACTGAAAACAATCGTGTCATCTACATAATAATAGCAATTTTATCTCCCAGCTCTGAAGAGTAAGCAATACAGCTTGAACAATTCTATCTCCAGACACAAAGAGCTAAAATACCGTAATTTACCGCCATTGTGCACTAGAAAATATATGGTTTCAAGTAGACAGCCTGGAACCAGACTCTGGTCACACATTTAACAACGGTTTCTGTGCTTGTTTAAATTTCTAATGAGTCAAAATAATTTGTATGTAATGACCTCTGGTTTAATACAATAAAAACTCTTTTGTAATCGTTTAAGGCTATATATATATCGGAGATTTAAATCTTGAAAACAGTTGAGGAAAGTCTGTAAAGGTGTTATAAATCAGTGACATAAGGTCACTTGGTTCAATTAGTTGACAATAGTTAAATTTAGTTATTTGGCTTTTGTACTTTTTATTTTTTTCTGTGTAAAGGGTTCCAAGAAAGAGATGTTTGTTTATTCTTCTATCAATTACCTCTGCCTAAATTTTTTTAAATACATTTATATCTTGAAATGACAGGGTCTTGGAAGATAAATAAGATTACATCCTATAAGGCACATGCCTTCTTCAACGTAAGGCTTATAAGTTGTGATCATTTCTCAATTCAAATTTTAATTTACTTGTTACTGATTGGTTCTATTTCTCTATGCAAAATAAATTAAACTTAAAATTGTTCTTGAAAACAATGCAGTATAAATAATTCAAAAAAAAAAAGTTTTAAAAACTGTTTCTAATGAAGATTGCTCTACTATTTCATCTCCTTCATAATTAATACTCACCTAGATTTTTTGCCACTTGTAAATCTTTTTGCATGTATGTGATTGCCTTGTCTATATTTCCAAGGCCCCAGTATCCGCTGCTGAGCGCAGAAAATACCGAGCCCCTCAACTTGAGGCTGCATGTGCCTATTTTTAGAGCAGCCTCCAACATTTGTGTCGAGGCATTGTAGTGGCCAGCTTGAAGAAGCTCTTGGCCAATCACAGAGATGATTACAAAAGGGCTCTTGTCCAATTTCAGCTGTTGTAGCTGTTGGAAGATGGGTTCCAGTTTTTCTGAAAAGAAAAGTATTCCTTCTTTATCAATCTTTCACAATTAATTTGAAATTTTTATTATGAATTTTTTTTAGGAAAATTCTTACTCAAACAGCATGATCAGTGATGGCCTGCCTAATGATTAAGGTGTTTATGTCTTAACTCAGGGGTCATGGATTCGAGCTCAACTCTGGTCACAAACAAAATTTTCACCAACACTTGTTTCAGTTCTAGAAAGCTTCAGCTTCAAATTAGCTTCAAGCTTTCTTCTGAACTGATCTAAAATAAATATGTTTGAACTAAACTACATTGATTTAATTAAAAAGACTAAAATATTAAATGATAAAACTTCAATTTTTTCAGATATATACTTTTTTAAAAAGATTTTTAAGTACTTTCTTAACCAGAAATATGATATAAATTATGAAATCCTGTAATATTCAGTAAAATTTTGCTTTTTATTAAGCACATATGGAGGCAGATCAGAAACAAATGTAAGACAACATACCTTTGAGAGGACATTTTAATGCTGCCTCAATCAGCCCTCCCAGGAGACCAGTATTGTTGGTGTCTTGTGCAAGCCCCGCCGCAAACGCCGCCAGTGCATCAGCATGCTGGCCTAGCTGTTGCAGAGCAGACCCTTCTCTAATGTATGCCTGAAAATACACAAAGAAACAAAATATATAGTTATATAACGTAACATCACAGAATGAATGCTTACAAGTTACATTGTACTCTTCAGGTACGTAATAAGGACTGTCACATTATGCCATGCAAAGTTACTCCCCTTTTCTAATATTACATGAATTGTCAATGCCCAGTTATTCCCCTTTTATCTAATGTGTCCATTTTTTAAGTTGGATGTTGCATAACTTCATCAAAGAATGAATGATTACATTACTCCTCTGGTAATATTCTAGGATGGTCTTATTTTGTTATACAAAGTTACTCCCCTTTTCTAATATTACATGAATTGTCAATGCCCAGTTATTCCCCTTTTATCTAGTGTGTCCATTTTGTAAGATAGATGAGTTGATAAATTATCTGCTTCAATACATTTTGTACTTTTAACTAAATGCAATCTACACTTCAAAACCTTTCATATCCAAACAAAAATGTTCTAAATTTAATATTGATTAATCAATTGCCCAAACAAACAATTACATTATCTATTATGTCATTTCTTAAATTAACATTACAGTTTTCATACAATTTTTCCACCATCTGATTCTAAATGATTCAAAGACAAACAATACACAGACAAACTTATGAATTAAATATTTGTTTTATATTATTAGTTTTTTTATCTGGTAATTCTTAAGTAAAAGGGTTTTTAGTTTCTGCGTAGAATAATTACGCTTGTTTCAGTTCTATATACAACAGTTATTATACAAAGATTAAGCCTATTGGGTTCACAGTGTATTGTCCTCATTCTGTATACAAAATGCCATGAAATGATGTCCTTTTTTTCTCCCAGTAGTTTCACTATTTGGGCTATTATGCGTACAAATTGTTCCAATGTATGACAAAACAGCCAATTTCCTGTTTCAGGAAATTCTTAATCACAGAGAAAATTAAGACGCTTTTCTGTTACAGAAAGATATTGTTTTGTAACCACTGCACTGGAGACTCCCTCTGTCCCTCACACTTAAAAGACAAATAAATGACTTGAAATATATAATTTTCTTTTTCTTTGGATATTAAAACGAGCTTCTTAAATTAACCCTGTTGACTTGAATATATAATTTTCTTTTTCTTTGGATATAAAAACGAGCTTCTTAAATTAACCCTGATCTGGTACAGCAAAATAAGAGCAGAAATGTTATGTCAAATGAGAACTGCACACACTTTGTGTGCTGATATGACTCAGCAAATTTTCTCAGCAAATGTTCAGCAATACAGAAAAAAAAAGATTTCTTGCCGACAAAACGAAAACCAAAAACCCGAAAGATTTAATTCTCAAAACCAATGTATCATGAATAAGCTATTTCCTCACAAAACCCAAGTTTTTTTCCGCCTCAAGCTTTTGCTCTATCAAACAAGAAGCCAGACATTATGAGGACATGACTAACGAAGCAGAATATGAACATAGGAAACTGTTCTGTAAACCAATCACCCAGCATAGAATGGTTCTCAAAATGAGACAATTTTTCTAGATGACTGGTTCCCTGGTTTTCTTAAAGGGATCAGTAAGATTAATGAATGTGGAATGATTTACGAGTGAAGATTTAATTACAGGTAAAAACAAAAAGACTTTCACTAATGACTATGTGACACTGTTAATGTTATAGATCAGGCTACAGGCAGTGTTCTTTGATTACATTTTTACAAAACTCTTTATACAGAATGTGTTCAATACATTAAGAGGATGTTAAACTGGTATCAAAATGAAATATTTCAGTAAAAACTTATTTCAACTCACTAATTCTAAGCCTGATTTTTTATAGATACTGAATTTGTGCAATTTTAAGTAACCTTGACTTTTCTTTGTTTCAATATAAAAATACAAAAATTTAATATATATATATATACATGTATAGAGCCTGGAAGGGCAAATGTTATTTACTAAGTTAAGGTTGCATTCAAAATTGAATTGTAGTGGAGCTAGGATGCATGACAGATACATTTCTCTCATTCAAGCTGAGTCAGTAATTTTCGCTTTTAAATTTTGTTTTCAATTTGCTATTAATGGATCTTCCCTTTTCCAGATTTGTTTTGCTTCATACTTAAAAATAGCAAATTTCATCTATTTGCACTGTGATTAAATGAGAAAAGAGGCAAGTGTTTATGGAGATTAAGAATGATGATTTTTCCTTCACAATAATTTCACTCATTTATATAAGACGTGACAAAAAACAGTCTATCATAACGTGTGAGTCACTAAATAAGAGCTGTTTATACATCAATTAGATATATGATACTGATTATTATCTACTTCACGAAATGATGTATGCATTTTGTTTGCTTTTTTTCCCTCCATATTCCTATAAACCATGAATTAAAACATGAATAATACCCTGCACATTAGCGGCAAATGAACATCTTAAAAAGATTAACAAGTCTATGTGTAATTAAAATGTCTTTGATGTTTTGCTAACGTCTCGTGTATTAAACCAGTGTATTTAATAATCAACAGGCTTTCATCATCATATTAACTATTAAAATCAAACACTTTCACCCACTGATATTCTATAATAGACCAGTCTCGGCTTTGAATTCGGAACTGTTCATTATAAATTCAAGGCATGTCAGGGCAACAATATAAAACCCGGATTTGCATGAAGCAATTAAATCATTGCTGACATATGTTTATTAACTTTATTTCTTTTCAACTGTAATCTTTGAAAGCCTAGCTATTGAGAATGTCCTATGTTATTATCTTGGCATATGGCTGCTTATAATAATTATTTTCTTTTTCTTTTTTTTTTTTTAAGAGGTTTCAAGTCACAATGACATAGTGAAGAAATTATATGGTTTATATTTCAAGCTAAACTGGTGGAGGAAACAAAACGAAACTGCAAGTATAGTGAGCCCATGCATACAACATTTTAGGAACATGCAGGCTCGGAATATGATGATAAGATTTTGCACAAACCCTCAGTCTTCTCTGTAAGTTAATTGTGCCCCAGGTGAGGATCGAACTCACGACCTTCAGATCACACTTGTTGTGATGAGAGTGACACTCTGTTTTAACCCATTGCTTCATGAGCATTTTCTGAAAAATGGCTGTTTTCATTGAAAAGTCTCCCGTTACAAGTTCAAATTGCTATAATACTATAAAAACTGCTTCAACACTAATCAAACTTGGCACAAATGTTGACTGGACCATTGTCCTTGCAACAACATGCTCAGACTTAAATTTTCTGTTACCATGGCAACGAGGGGACATCTCAAAATTGCCAAAAATCACTATTTTGCGTTGATTTTTTCCATCAAAATTGATTTCAAAGTGCTGCAACTTATCAATGGATTGAGATAGAGTCAAATGCTTTTCAGCGTTGGTTACACGTTACCTTATGATCAATCTGGGGTCATTTACAGCCTCTCACAAGTCCAAAATTTTCTTGGCGATGAGGGGGACTCCGCCCCCCTTCAAACCCCCCAAAACAGAAGGGGGCACATCCCCCTTCTGGCAACCCCCTGATGTATCTTTTGGTTGGGGGGCGCACCGAAAAAGAGGTCAATTTTTTTAACAACATATCTTAAACAAAAACAAGTGTTTGGGGCCTAAATAAGGCATTTTTTCATCATTTGAGACAACAAAAAGGGGGGGGGTGAAAAAGGCGTTAAAAGGCGTGTATATGAAGTAATGGGTTAAACTATCAATTCACATATCAAATCACCAACTACAAATACACAGATCAAACAGAACAATTTGGCCGTTTTATTTGTCAATATTTACATGACAGTCATTTATATTCATGACTTTCGGATCATGAGTTTGTGACCACTGCTCGTTATTTTGTCTTCTTGCGTATCCATTTGGTTAAATGATTGTTTCTTTGATATTACTTGTGTATCATTTATATTCATTGATTGCCGTACAGAAATAAGGAAAGAGAAAGAAGTATCTTGTAGTTTTTATGTCAGCTCATTCATATAGGAAACAATCTTGACATTGTATCAAAATCAAAGCCTGTTCTGTAAATTGTAAAGAATTTGGTTGCAATCTCTCATGACAGTAGTTTCTAATAATCTGTTGGTCACCACTATGAAGGTGTTAGCTTAAAATCGTTAAAGTAGGCAGATTCAAACATAAGATTGAGTCTGCATGGCAGTTCAACGTATGGTATCTACAGTGTGCATAGCAACCATCTGCGCTCAAAGTAGCTTCTTAACTGTCTCTTATACAAACTTTATATTGCAGCAGCCTTTCAGTTTGTTTGTTTGTTTGTTTCATTTTACGCCTTTTTCCAACAGTATTTCAGTCATATAGGTGGGTAGTTTTCTAACTATCGTTCCTGGAGAGTTACACCATTACTAGACTACCTTCCTCCGCGCTAAACTACCAAAGTATCTCCAGGGGATCGAACCCACGCCAGAGAGGTAACTGGATTAGAGGTCATCGACTCTAACCCCTCGACCACGGAGGCGGTCTCCAGCCTTTCAGTAAACTCAACAGTAAGCTCAACAAATTACAATATGATAGCTGAGTAATATATTAAAAACAAAATTGAATATATCTCAATTGTGAAGCCTTGTGATTACTTAAGTCCATATACTGACAATTTAAGACAGAGACATTTAGTCAGCAGCCTGAGCACAGAAGTATAACAAAAGTTCATATCTAATTTAGATAATAAGGGTATCTGAAAATCTGGTGTGGGGGTTGACGCTGAATCAATTAATAAAACATTAACGTTTTACCTTTTTCGGCTCTGTCACTTATGTCTCTTTTACCTTTGTCTATACTTTTAACATGTCACTTTATATCTAACAAATAGATCTTAAATTATACTAAAAAGGCAAACATGTTTGATCGCATGTTCATACTGTAGTAGATAACTTAAAATGTCTAGCAAATTTTCAAGAAAACTATGCTGGCTAATTGGGGGGGCAAATTTGTTAAATTTTAAAGTTGACATTATCAGGATTATAATAAATGCTATCAGATCTGTCATAATCCTGAATTGTCAAAGAAATCCCGATTTTATAA